AGTGCATTAACTAATGTCAACACATTTTGGTTTTAAAAACTGTATTAGTAAATATTGAAAATAACAAGATTAATAAATGCTGTAGAGGTATTGTTCTGTTAACAAATTAAACCTTACTGTAAAGTGTTACTCAAAACTTCCTATTCAGTACCTTTTGAACTTTGTAACTTAAAAATAATATGTATAATGTGCATGTGTTGTAATTTCAAGCAATGTTTGTATAAAAGGATATACAATACTTTCAGAAATGCGCTCTGGTCAAGCTCAGACATTTAAATTTGATGACTTGATTTGTTTACACACTGTCTAGAAAATCAACTTACCAGGATGCTTACAGGATTGGACCTATATATGAAAACAGAGAACTAGAGTTAGACATAACTCTGAAATTTTGAAATTATCATACTGAATTCTGTAATTGTATCAGAATTTGTTCCTGTTTTAGAGCCCTAATTATGTCACTCCTTGGATAATTATGTCATTACTCAGACAAAAGCAGCAAAAACATTTTAAAATATGTGCACTGTATTGTAGGATTAACCCATGTGACTCATTTGTCTGCTGTGTCTACAGCAGCATTGTCGACCTTTAGGTAGAAATAGTCCTTCCATCTGTATAAAAAGAAAAGATGCTGTCTACTATGTAGAAGTGTATAGCTCCACACATTAAACATGTACACTCACAGGAGAAACCTTGACCCATTTGAATGAGTTATAGGCCGTGGGTTTATACTGACAGACTGACAAATGACAGCAGCAGAACCTTTTTCATTATCCATGTGAATACCAACTGGAAGATAGAACTACAGCTGATCAGACTGAATTGATTGTACTTTCCAAAATGATAGACCATAATCTAATATAATGAGTATGAAAGAAAGCACTGTGCTAGGACAGAATACCCTGTGATGCAGAGAAAAACAATCCTGAAATTCTTACATGTCCTCTACAAAGAGATTTGCTCGTTTTGTACTGAAAATAGAATACACAAATGTAACTGAACACTGGAGACTATTGTCTTGGCAACCATGTGCTTTATTTTACTGCCTACAGTTAGATTTAAGTAAGCGGTCGTGCGTTTTTTTTTTCTTTTTATCAAAGATTCTATTCAGAGCATGGTAATTCCAAGCAAATGAGAAAGAAAACACTTTTAAAGTGGTTAATTATCTCATTACTTTCTCTTAACAAAACCTTTTCTATAATAATAATTTGTTTGTAGATGCCACTTGGTTTGACATTTTATTTAATGCAATGATTCATATATTCATACAAGCGACTAGAGGACAGAATTCACAAAAATTATTATAGAGAAAAAAGTTTTTGTGAAAATTTGACCCAAACTTTCGTAATTGCTGAAATACAGCCCTTGTGACAACTGCCTCCCACAAAACAAATAATAATAAAAAATCCTAACGAAGTCTTTAAAATCACTGATGAAATAATTTAATTTTCATTCATTCATTCATTATTTATTTGTAGAGCACATTTAAAACAACTCATGGTTGACCAAAGTGCTGAACAGGACAGATTAATCAGTAAAAGGATAATACAATAAAATTAATCGATACAATTACAAGCAATGGAATAAATAATACATTAAATATAATACAATTGAAGGTTAATAAAGTGCATTAAGGATCTACGTTTAGAAAGTGTTTTTTAAGCTTTAATTTGAAAGTAGCAAATGACGAAACTGTTCTGATTGATAGTAGTAGACTATTCCATAATTTGGGGCCTGCTACTTCAAAAGCTCGGTCACCTCGATGTTTCAGTCTCGATCTACGCACAGAGAGCAAGGTTACTAGACCTAAGTGACCTGGGTGGATTGTGGTAGTGTATTAAGTCAGATAAGTACCCAGGTGCTAGGCCGTGTAATGATTTAAAAACAAAGACTCAAATTTTAAACTCAATTCTCTGTTTGACTGGTATCCAATTTAGAGAAGTTAAAATCGGAGTAATGTGATCAAACTTTCGACTACCAGTTAACAGTCTGGCAGCAGCATTTTGTACTAGTTGAAGGCGGCCGATGGATAATTGGTTAGCTGAGCTCCAAGATAAAGTGAATTACAATAATCAAGTCGTGAAGTGATAAACGCATGAATGACTATTTCAAAATTCTTCGGAGAGAGAAAAGATTTGACTTTTGCAAGACGCCTTAAATGAAAAAAGCAGGATTTAACGATGGAATTAATTTGTTGTCAAACAGGAAACCTAGATTTTTTGCAGATGAAGTAACATGAGGATTTAACTCATCAAGATCTAGAGTACCGGAGTCATGACGATCACTTGGTCCAAAGAATATTACTTCAGTTTTGTTCTCATTTAGTGCTAAAGAATTTTGTGCCAGCCATAGCTTCACATCCTGGAAACATGCAAGCAGGACTCCTAAAGAGCTTGAATTATTCTGTTTAAATGGAAAATACAATTGGGTATCATCGGCGTATAAATGAAATGATACTCCGTGTTTAGAAAAGATAGAACCCAATGGTAACAGATATAAAGAGAATAATATCGGAGCTAGAATAGATCCCTGTGGTACCCCACAGGAAAGATGTGCTGCTGAGGAAGTGCAATTTCCAATGCACACAGAGAATATTCTATTAGTTAAAAAAGATTGAAACCAATTTAAAACGGTGCCGTGAATGCCTAAATTCTTCAGTCGAGAGATAATAATTGAATGGTCAACCATATCAAAAGCAGAGCTGAGATCTAAAAGAACCAGGGCAACAATTATCTAATTATCTAATTACCTGTAGCCAGCATAATGTCATTAGTGACTTTCAGTAAAGCGGATTCGGTGCTGTGTAGTTTTCTAAATCCTGACTGGAAAGTATCTTATAATGAATTTGTACTCAGAAAGGAATGTAGTTGATTGAGAACAACCTTTTCTAAGATTTTCAAAATAAATGGAAGATTAGAAATTGGTCTGAAATTACTTAAAACTGATGTATCAAGATTAGATTTTTTTCAAAAAATAAAAAATCAGGCCCTATGATATCAATAATTTGCTTTAAAAAGTGTGACGGAATAATATCATTTGGACAAGAGGTAGGTTTTAGATGTTCAACAATATCTCTGCAAGTAACTAGAGAAATTGGATCGAACATGCTCCAGGTAGGTGAGCACCTAGGCACTTCAGGGAGAACAAGAGAACCTGGCGTTGTTTGTGGTCTTAACCTTATTGTCTTTGTGACAAAAAAAGATGAAAAGTTTTCACATAAAAAATCAGACACATCAGGGAAAGCATCAGCCACAGGGTTTAAAACAGAGTCGATAGTGGAAAATAAAACTCTTGGTCTATGGTGATTTTTGGAGACAATTTCTGCAAGATACTTTGATTTGGCAGACTTCACAGCTTTCTGGAAACCATGTAGAGATTCTCTTAAAATATCAAACGACACCTGCAGTCGGTCTTTGAGCCATTTGCGTTCTACTCGTCTACAATTTCGTCGAAGTGAGCGGAGCGGATAGAGTCGTTGAACCAAGGTGAGGATTTTTTGATAGAGCGTTTAAGTTTTAAAGGAGCAATGTTATTAACAATGTCCAAGCAGGTATTACTAAAAAAAACTTAAATATGCGTCAGCGTCCGGGCTTTCAGAGATCCATTTCGAAGCTAGTAGTTCATTAGCTGCATTATAGGCAGTGCAAAAGTCCTCGCTGGCTGTGGATGAGAAATAAAGAATCCAACGTGCCTGAGCAGATTTCGCATTTGATCGACGAGATAGGCCAGTTGTAAAAGTCACAGATTTGTGATCAGAAAACCCATTGTCTCTTTGTCTCCACTTGTCTCGTTTACAGTCTGAGGGAGACGCACGCTGTAAACAAAACAATCTTTGCAAACATGTCTAAGGATTTCGACACAGAGGAAGACTTGCATTTTTTTGCCCAGCCATATTTATTTGAACCCGAATACACGGACACAGCAGATAACACGTCAGCAGCGTCTTACGTCAGCAGTGTCACTGCGGACTCGTGAACGCGGATTGACAACAGAACCAGAAGAGAATACAATGCTGAATAAAGTCGTAGTTTTTGTTATTTTGGGACCAAAATGTATTTTCGATGCTTCAAAACATTCTAACTAACCCACTGATGTCACATGGACTACTTTGATGATGTCTTTATTTCCTTTCTGGACAAGGACAGTATACCGTACATACATTTTCAATGGAGGGACAGAAAGCTCTCGGACTAAATCTAAAATATCTTAAACTGTGTTCCGAAGATGAACGGAGGTCTTACGGGCTTGGAACGACATGAGGGTGAGTCATTGACACAATTTTTGGGTGAACTAACCCTTTAAGTCTGATAGCAGCACCTCCTCGTTTGCCGCGTCTTTTACGGCGTTTTTTGCAAAGAAAAGTAGAGGTGTGCCGACACAGGTGCTCCGGAATATTCATCCAGAACGACGAGGAAAACGGGTGAGGACCGCTCCATAAATCCTTGTCAATATCGATGACTGCAATTTTCATATCTAGCAGCATTTGCCGATCATACGTAAAGGTTGTAGGCCACGTTTTGATCTCAGAGACGCAGAAAATACTAAAAATAATCCACAATAGGAAGAGCGACAGACGGCTTGCCAAACACAACGGCGCCATCTTGCCTCCGCTGCATATTATGATTAATCTTAATATGTACTGTATATCATCTATATATGATTGCAAGGTGACTGTATATGTGAAAAAAGACAGTACACCGTTTTAATTTTATGGTTTTGCGTATCAGGATATAATAAAAAATCATCTGGTCATTAGCAGGTCTTAAAATTAGGTAAATACATCAGCTGAACAACAACACTGTCACGGGGTGGTTCAGGAAGGACAGAAGAAGGAATAAATCCAAAGCGAGTTTAATTCTCAAGACAGGCAAACGGGTGTAACAGCGTGTCAAACACAAACAATACCGAACACTGAACTGAAGACTGGCAGGAACTTAAATACACAATGATGATTAACACAAATGACAGGCAGCTGTGAGGAAGGTGATCAGTGTCCATGGTTACAGATTGGTGGCGGGAAACAAGACTGAGGAACACATGTGAAAAATGAAAACAAACTGAAAGTCAAAAAGAAGCCTAATGGTGACAACGCCCCCCTCCGGCAAGGCGCGTCCTGGCGCCGTAACGAAATGACGGAGGGGGGGAATCGGAGGAGGTTCAGGTGGTGGACGAGACGAAGACGAAGTGCAGAAGAGAGGCAGGATGGTGAGGTGCCGACGACGATTCCCTGACGGCACAGATGTAGATGGCCTGGTGGCGCAGACCCAGAGCCGTCCAGTACCGACAGCCCACGGCAGAGTAGACGGATGGAAGAGACCAGGTGGAGAAGAGGCTGATGGTAGCTGGGGGATGACCGACGGAGACATGGTGGCAGGATCCATCGGCGCAGCCGGAGAGCCGGTGGACTCCAACGATGACGCTGGTCTTGGAGACCCAGGCGACATCGCGGCGACGAGTACAGGAGGTGGAGCCAGAGTACCCGAGAGCAGAGGCGGAGGTGGAGTGACGGAGGACAGAGGTGACGCCGAGGGGAAGGAGGAGCCCGCTGTAGCAGAAGGGGTGGAGGGACGGAGCGTAGCGGACGGACCGTAAGTCCGTGGCGAAGGCAGAGTGACGACTGACCAAGGGCGAGCCGGCAGGACGAGGGAACCCGCTGCAGCCGATGGTTCGAGGGTCTCTGGTGGAGGCGTAGGTGGGAGGAGCCAAGACAGAGCCGGCAGGTCGACAGGCCGAGAAGGAGTGCAGAGGACTGAGGCTGGAGGCGGAGCCACGAGATCCTCATGCCTGGGTGCTGCGGATGGTGGGCTGACCTGCATCTCAAAGTCAGGGGGCCTCCCCAGAGACGATGTAGGGCAGCGAACATCTAGCAGCGTCGGGGCTGGAGAACTGGCTGAGTGTAGTGGAGCAGTGGAATCTGACAGGTTGACGACAGGGTAGACACAGTCACTGGAAGGGTCTGAGGATGATGGTGCAGATGACGGGTGGGATAGGGTGGGAACCGGTGTCTCCTCAGAAGAGTCCTTCAGCCAGTCCTCATAATCCGTGGATTGCGTGCCCTCGTCCTCAGATGTCGTGGGCTCACACCCCTGGTCAGACTCCTGTTGGAGCTCCTCCTCCGGGGCGAGGGTCAGCTCTGTCCTCTTAATCTCGGGCTCTGGCTGGTGCGTCGCGGCGGGTGGTAGCTCTCCGTCTGCGGGGGGCACGCACGAGTTCTCCGGAGAGATCGTCTGGGAGATCGATGCGCTGATGGAAGTTGGCCCCGATCCAGAACAGATTTTTCAGGGTTTCGTCGTCGAGGGGGCTGGTGACTGCAAGAACACAAAAGTCTCTTGTGAAAGTCAAAAAGTTCTGGCTCTTCTCTGCGAGCAGGATAAAGTCCAAATTATCCATTTTTGGGGTTCGGTATTCTGTCACGGGGTGGTTCAGGAAGGACAGAAGAAGGAATAAATCCAAAGCGAGTTTAATTCTCAAGACAGGCAAACGGGTGTAACAGCGTGTCAAACACAAACAATACCGAACACTGAACTGAAGACTGGCAGGAACTTAAATACACAATGATGATTAACACAAATGACAGGCAGCTGTGAGGAAGGTGATCAGTGTCCATGGTTACAGATTGGTGGCGGGAAACAAGACTGAGGAACACATGTGAAAAATGAAAACAAACACATGACACATATAACACGGTGTCATTATTTATTTAAACACCAAAATGGAGAAGCTATGTGTGACAAACTAAGTACACTGCTTGTTGAGACACTTTTAGCAGCAATAACTTATTTCACTCTTTCACATCGTTCTGGAGGAATTTTGGCCCGCTCTTCTTTACAACGTTGCTTCAGTTCATTGAGGTTTGTGGGCATCTGTTTATGCACAGCTCTCTGAAGATCCCGCCGCAACATTTCAGTCGGGTTGAGGCCTGTACTTTGATTGGGTCAGTGCAACACCTTGATTCTTTTCGTTTTCAGCCATTCTGCTGTAGATTTGCTGGTGTTCTTGAGATCATTGTCCTGTTGCATGACCCAATTTCAGCTTTATCTGTCGGACAAATGGCCTCACATTTGAATCTAGAATACTTTGGTATGCAGAGGAGTTCATGGTCGACTCAAAGACTGCAAGGTGCCCAGGTCCTGTGGCTGCAAAACAAGCCCAAATCATCACCCCTACACCACCGTGCCAGACAGTTGAGGTGTTTGTGCTAATATGCTGTGTTTGGTTTTTGCCAAATGTGGCGCTGTGCATTATGGCCAAACATCTCCACTTTGGTCTCATCTGTCCAAAGGACATTGTTCCAGAAGTTGTGTGGTTTGTTCATATGCAACTTTGAAAACCTAAGCCGTGCTGCCATGTTCTTTTTCTAGAGAGAAGAAGCTTTCTCCTGGCAACCCTTCCAAACATGCCATACTCGTCCCGTCTTTTTCTAATTGTACTGTCAAGAACTTTAACATTTAACATGTTAACTGAGGCCTGCAAAGTCTGAGATGTAGCTCTTGTTTTTTTTTTTTTTTTTTTTTTCAGTTTCTCTGAGCATTGCACGGTCTGACCTTGGGGTGAATTTGCTGGGACATCCACTCCTGGGAAGATTGGCAACTGCCTTGAATGTTTTCCACTTGTGAATAATCTTCCTCACTGTAGAATGATGGACTTCAAATTGTTTGGAAATGGCCGTATAACCCTTCCTAGATTAATGGCAGCAACAATTGCTTCTCTAAGATCATTGCTGATATCTTTTCTCCCTGGCATTGTTAACACACACCTGAATGCTCCAGACCAGCAAACTGCCAAAACTTCTGGTCACGCTTGTTGATGATTAATTAATCAAAGGCATTTGTTTAACAGGGCATGACTGCTACTTACCCTCTTAATGGAAGCAGTAAGGATACTAAGTTTGTCACCCATGGCTTCTCTATTTTGGCCTAGTTTTTGCTAAATAAATAATGACACAGTGTAATATGTCAAGTGTTTTTGTTCATCTGAGGTGGAATTACCTAATTTTAAGACCTGCCCAGGACCACATGTTTTTTTTTTATGTCCTGATACGTAAAACCATATAATTCAATAGGGTGTCCTTTCTTTTTCACATGTATTTTTCCTAGTTAGCTACGTTGCCATTTCAGTCATATGAGCAATTAAGATAAATGGAAATGCTAACAGATAGCTTTCTCCAGATGCTATAGACCACCTTTTGGTTTAGACATTTTTTTATTTGTTTTTTTATTTCATTTAAGTTTTCTTTTCTTTTTAGTTTCCACACCACACTTGTATATTAATGTTCTATTATGTTCAAGGTTTGTACTGCAAACACTGGTTCTAATTTACATTCAAGAAGAGAACAGATTCTGTAACTGATTACATAGTAAACATGTCGCAAATCTTTTCATGTGCAGGCCTTTGGCGTGGTCAACACCTTTGACAAACTGTTTTTGAGTCATCAATAGAGAAAATCTTTATTCTTATTTTATGATTTCCAACCTTTATTCTTTTTCTCGCATATCTTATTGACAAGAGGCGTTGTCAAAACAGATGTTCTGCAGTGCAGCCCTCAGCTAATTTTATCTGGACATCAAATCAAAGTGTAATCATTATTGGAGGCTTTGCCACATGGAGTGAAACATTGAAGTAAGATCAATCCAGCTTGAGTGTATCACTACAAACAGCAGAGCTGGTTTTTTTTCTGAGCAGTGCTGAAAGTTGCACTTGGAATGCCAATAATTAAAGGGGAAAACTTCTTGAGCAAAAAGGTTTTCTTTTTTTTTTTTACAAACTGGCCTAGTCGTCCATTACTGGAAAATTGCATGCAACATAATTGTGAGCATTGTCTAATTATAACTAATTACATTTAATTGACTCCTCATTTATCAAAATGGTTCATTTTCTGTCAAAAAATTGTGACAGCCATTGTGACTCCAAAAAACAGTTAAGCAGCCAGCAACATCCACGGAATATGTTGTAAGCTGTGGTAACTCATCATCCATTTGCCGCACAGACTATAATTAACTCATAAGACCTTTGCGAGGGTCTGCTGCGCCTTTGTGAATTATGCACTGTTAGTGAACTGTGAACTTTTACATTTGGTGATGCTCATCATAAAACACTGAACAATTTACCATGAATTACAGTACATTACCATTTTTTTTTATTATTGTGGCTAAAGTTGATATGGCCTGTGGGTTCACAAACCCAAGGACAGGAGGTGAATCGCAGCAGGTGTGGTGGCACTATCCCAGGATCTAGGACAGTAGATTTCCTCCAGCTGGCCGAAAGCCTTTCCCCCAGGCCGCTGCGCAGCCAGCTACCTGAACCAAGGTGAGACCCTCTGCGCACCGGGGGGAACTTGAATCTTAATGTAAACCGACTCATCTATAAATGATGGCAAGCGGCGATTAATCAAAATGTGACAATGTGTATGGAGGGGTGGCGGAGGTCAGGGGCTCTTTTTTCCCTCTTGGTGCTTTGGAGACTCTGCCATGTTTCTTCTCACTGGTTAGTGAGTTACTATCAAAGCAGGCCAGAGCAGTGGCATTCACAGCCTCAAAGCCACTGTTTCGTCTCTCCAGCTCTGATTAAGGTGTACTGAAATAGAAAAAATATATAGTGCAACATTACAATATTTATGCTGTTGAATGGATATTTCACACAAACGTGAAGATTTGTGAAGAAATGTTATTTGCTTATCCTCATGTCCTTCCAATTCTGTCTGCTGTTGTTTTCCAGTGAACACAAAAGGAGGAATTTGAAAAATATTTATGCAGATCTTTACCATACACTCTTAAAAATAAAAGCTATTTATTGGCATCAATGGTTTGGTGAAGAATCTTTAATATCCATGGAATCTTCCCATTTGACAAAAGGTTATTTATAGTGATAAAAGTGTCTTCAGATTTTTTAAAATGCTCTTCACACTAAGGACCCAAAATTGTTCTTCTATGGCATCACTGTGAATACGCCATTCTTCAGAGTGTAGTGGCCAGGATCCTAAACATGTAAAATAATAATAATAATAAGTATGAACATTTCCATTGAAGGTTTATTTTATTTAAATGAGTTAATACATCATCAATCCTTCTTCCAAAACATGTTTTTGACTTACCCTTATTCACTATGGTAAGCCTATTGTAAGTGTTTATATTTTAGACCTGTTGGGATGGTTTTCACAGGAAATCGCGTATACATCACTCGCCTGTGCGTGTCTCATTATATACATAAATAGAGGAAAGTTGCTCCGGCTACTTTGATACGTGAATGGTGTGGGAGTGGTAAAGATTAGTTGAGAGAGAAGGGTTGACTAAATATATGGAGCATACTAAATATCAAATCTCCGTGGAATCACCCGTTTAAAAAAATGCCGAACAGAGGAGAGTCTGCTGGCAAAAAAAAAAAAAAAAGAATGTGACAGAGCTTGTAATATAGCGAGAATCAACATTGGCTTTGCTTTCCGGAGATGGTGAGAACTGAGGCAGCATTCATCCACTCATTCAGTTTTTTTGCTTCAGAGCTGAGTGGTTTCATACAGCAATCACCTCCTAAAAGAGCTTAAAAGAGTTTCAGAAAGGATCTCTCTTGACTGGAAGATCTAAGCGGTATTTTGCCAGTGAACACAGTGCTCAGATAAGTGCAGTGATTCCCCCCTGGAGCTTCAGTTTAAAAGAGCAGTTCCCCAAAACGGACGGCAAGCGTCTTTTTAAAGATGACTTTCCGTCCTTGTGTTTCTGGATGCGGTCGTTTCTACTGTTTTCATCTGACGGACACAATTTCTGTCTCACATGCCTGAGCCGAGAGCATGCTGAGACGGTGTTCGTGCTGTCTGTGGTCGCGACTCTCCTTCCTTTTGAAGGCTAGAGTCCCCTCTGATGTTACACAAAGCAGAGTCACAAAAATGATTAACACTCTGAGAGACCTGAGGATTCCAGTGGGAGCGTTTCCGCAGGGCAGGTCCCAACGGACATCCCACTCCTCTAGCGTGTCGTGTGCTGTTGAGCTGGGCCGGGCCCTTCTCACGGGGAACCTAGCGAGTCAGATTCAGAGTTGACGCCATGATTGCCTGGTCCCCAGCAGGAATGCAGGAACTGCGCATGGCGGCTGACCTCGCCCTCCGGCTGACAAAAGTCACTGTGCAGGCCCTGATTTTGAGACCACTGTCCGGTATACGTGCCCAAAGATTCCACCTTTCCCAAGATTCCCTTTCGGGAGCAGGTGGTGTACTTGCAAGCACTGCCCCCAGAGAAGGCAGACCCAGCCCTTGTGTCGCTGTGTCCCATTCACGCCCTGCATATTTACATGGACAGCACGCAGAGTTTCAGAAGCTCTGAGCAGCTCTCTGTCTGCATTGGAGATCAGCAGAAGGAAAAGGCTGTCTCCAAACTGAGGTTGGGCTACTGGATGGTGGATGCCATCGCATTGTCATTCCAATCCCAAGGTGTGCCGTTGTCCCCTCAGAGTGTTACCTCCTCCTGGGCGTTGGCACACAGCACCTTTTTGGCAGACATCTGCAGAGCTGCGGGCTGGGCGACACTTTATACCTTTGCGAGATTCTACAGTCTCCGGGTGGAGCCGGTTTCTTCCCGTGTGTTGGGTACAAACAGTTAATGTGTAAGAAGGGTGGCTCTGTGGCTTCCTTGCTCTGCAGGTGAGTTCCCTAATTGGCAAACCCTGGATTGAGTTTCCTCTGAGCATACTTCAGCAGTCTGACTGCTTCTAAAATTTCTGAGGCGTCCAAAGCCAGGCCCAGTACTTGAGATGCATGTCTGGTTGGTCAGCCCTTGTACTGGGCTTGATTCCCCATATGATACCCCCTTGGTAATCCCATATGTGTATTCTTCCACAGTACAATTTCCCTTAGGTTTGGTAAACCTGTGTCTTTCCCTGGGCAGATTCTGTTCTGCCCTGTCTTAGCATCTGTAGTAGTTCCATCCCTGTCTAGCCAGGACCTACCGCAGAGATCTTCCATATGTAGCACTGCCCCTATGGCCAGTCCATATGTGTATTTCAACAATTTCCTCCCCATGGGTAGGATGTAGCCACCGTAGTGTCCCTCTCCACCTGGACTAGGTTCACTTCCTCAGTGTTAACAACTAGTCATGGCTGTAAGGAAAAATAGGAAGAGAGCCGAAGCACTCTTCTCATGAACTAAAATATTAAGAACAGCAGCTACGACCTTCTCCATGGTACGCCATGTAACCTTCCATCCCATTGGCATGGAGGACTATCATTTGGGCTTACGTGGTGCGCTGAGTATATTACGACTTAAAGGTACAATACCTAAGATTTTATGCCGCTAGAGGGAGCTACATTCAAAACAACAACAACGGCTTTGCTTGATGACGACGTGAAGGAGCGCGGATTGATGGGAACTGTTGTTTTCAACTCCACCGTGGATAAATCAGTCAGACGGGAATCGAAAATTTATTTTCATGGATGAGGTAAAGTTCGATTTCTATAAATGTTGCGTTTAATGACATGCTTGTTTTTCATTAAACTGAAATAACCGCAAGAAAAGTAAGGTTTAATAGTAAATTAGTTATCACAGATGTTACTGTAGGCTATATTTGTTGAATTGTGATAACGCTGCGCATTTTAACGTACATTAGAACATACATCATTTGCCAAAGGACTGATTAATCTTTATGTAGAACATCGTATATTTATTTACATGGCCATAAACACCAGACGTGATAAACAATGTTAATAAACTAAACATAAACCTAACGCAATAATACTTTCCTTACATACACTATTACCAAATGCTACATTTGTAATATATAAAATTAAGCATGAGGAATTACAACTTCTATGTGATTTTGGATTATGCATTCCACATAACCATCTAAAAGTTAAAACATTAGATACATTTTAAAGTTTTTTTATGCATATGTATTGATAGCTGTCATGTCATATCTGTTTGTATAATTATTTATATTTTTGTATTTATGTTGCAGGAAGACACAGATAGATCCTCATTGGAAGTATCCATGTCAAATACTGATGAGACCTGGAGTCCTCCCCAGAGCAGCTGCCATGAAGCATCACATGGAAGAACAAAAGGTGTGGACAGAGGAAAAAGAAAAGGGATGGGAAGAGCAAAGGGGATGGGAAGAGCAAAAGGGATGGGAAGAGCTTACAGAGTAGAAGAAAAAACTGGAGCTGTTGAACTCAGCAGTGTAACAAGAGGAAGAGCAGCAAGTAGACGTAGGTCTACAGGGGGAAGACAGGCAGCAAGAGGGAGAGGAAACACTGCATCATCTGGACTGTGTGAAGAGGACAGATTGAGGGTGTCTAGGCTGCAAGAGGACAGGATGTTGATGACACAAGTGAGTATGGACACAGTTCAAATCTCCAAAATAGTTTCAACGTTTGGCATTAACTTTTGTAATGTGTAATTTCAGAATCTTATAGGAAATATGAACTTGGCTGAAGCTCAAGGTCTCCTGCTTAGAGTCATGAATAGAGAACCAGGCCTCATCTTTGATGCCCTCCAACCAGCTGATCATCAAGAGGAACAACAATTACAGGATGTACCTCGATGGTGTTCTTGTACAAGATGCATTGAAATGCCGTCTGATATTGAAAAGAAATGTTGTGGCATGACAGAGGGCACATGTGTAAGCATTTTGCCCCATATGTCGTTATACATATTGGATGAGCAGGTATTGCGCTTGTCACGTCGTTTAAGAAACGACATTTATGCCATTCATGACACACAGGAACCTGGGGATGATAACCGGGAATACCGCTATGCTGCTTACAGAAATTGTGTATTGTGGCAATGTGGTTCACTTGGTGCGGGAAACCGCGTTGTCATCCCTAGCTGCTGTGTGCGCAGAGTACGTGAGAAATTCCCTGACCCAAATGCGCAGTACACTGGATTCATCGCTGCTGTGTTGTAGAAGCATGCTGCTTAGTCAAGGTCTCCTATAAACTTTTATTTTTGTTTATAAGGAATTGTTTATTCTTTATAGTTGTTATTTAAAATTATTTATTCAATGTTACATTATAATTTCTACTTTTATGTTGTCTTACCTGTTTGGTAAAAAATTGTTTTGCCACTCTGCAGTTTAAAATGTTTGCATAACAAATATAAAGTATATGTTATTATATGCTGCCTTCTTCATAAGAACCGGTTTATAGAGTGCTAATGTAAATAAAAAGACTGTTTTTGTATTTTTGTAAGATTTATTTTTAACAAAATAAAATAAATCAAAAAGTGTGAAATGATTTACAATTTATTTACATGTTTGATAACTTCTCTAAGGTGTCATAGTTACAAACTTTTTTAGGTATATGCATCAAGTTTCAGGTTAAAATGTAACTACAAAAACAGTTTGGCAACCTCATTTGAAGGTAAACTTCTGAACATGGGTTTGTTCAGATTTCTGAAGTTTTAGCTCAGTGCTCGTCTCTTGACCCTGGTAGAGTAGAGCTTGCTCCTTTTATTAAAAAAAAAAACAAAAACAAAGAAGTGAAATCCGATTAATAAGAGCAATATATAAATGAAGCATAACGTTGTACAGATCAATATCACTAGTAAATAAATAAGAGAGTTATCATACACACTGTTCTAAATTAGGATAAATAACTTAGTTATATTTTAAATATATATAGAGATTTGCATTAAATTTCCAAGGACATGTGTCTTATATAAGATGTTTTCCTGTACATACCTATGCCTCTACTGACATGTGCCTCCAGAATGCTGTCAACCGATGGAGGTGGGACACTTGGAAGGAGGCCTAGTCTCCTGGGGTCCTCAGGCCTCAGAACCCTACGCCTTGGCATACCCACATCAGCCTGTAGTCTTGTGCGCACAATTTCCGCTTGCAAATCAGGAATGTAACTGTAGTCTTTTGGCACCTTCAAAGCATATACAGTCCATCTACCAGTTTTCTTCTGGAACTGTTTGCGAAAGCTGTAATGAAAAATAATTTTGTTTTAGAAAAAATAAAACACCAAGAAATATATGGGTAATAAGACACATTGGAAGGATGATATATCAAGTTCCACTGAAAGTTCTGAGAGATGGAAAATAAAATGTTTAAATCTTACATCTTTTGGCCATTTTTGTTGAGCATTGGTGGACGATCCTTATGGTGGTTATAATCAAGGGCTGCAAGTAGAGTTCTTGCCTCGTAGACCAGTGGTGAGAAGCTGAACCGCTTGCTGACGTACATCAACAAGTGGTTGTGGAATGATTCCAGCTCACAAGTTGATCTGGAGAAACAAATTATCATATGTTCAAATTTTGAGTAGTATTCAAAACATTGATCATATAGTGATGACTACTGGTGGTGATTAATTCCATTTTGAAACAGACATGAAGGTGTTTTCATAAGTTACCTGAAAGTTAGATATCGGTGGACATTTGTGAGCCACCTCTTTTTTAGAACTATTGCTTCCAGTGCCTTGTGAGCTTTGGAACCACTCTCCAGCCATTGCTTGTCTTGGATTTCAGGCAGGCTACCGTGCAGGCAGTGACCAAGGTACCATTCGTGCTCATTTGTAACGTGGTGAAGCACACTGCTCCATAGTTTCTAAAATACAAATCTTTTAATCAGACCATACACTCAAAGTACAAGTAAAGGCTAGATATTGTCGGTACTGTAATGTGTTTTATAACGAGAATGCTGTACACAAATATAATCTTATCCTAAAACAGAATCTCACTGCACATAGAAGCATTGTACTTGTTTGCATGCAAGTTTGCTACATGGAAATGTCGTCGTATTTAATCACATGTAGAGATGACTACTGGGAGATATATTACTTACAATGAACTGCTGTACCGTGTCTGCCTTTTTACAACAGAACCAGAAGTGATTTACAATGTCCTTGACCCAGTGCAGCAGGATCCTTTGTCCAGATTGCTGTGCCTCCTAAGTATGCATATTACAGATGTGGTTGAATACATTTTGTAATATAAACATTATTATAACAAGTCTGCAAAATATATAGGTTAAAGTATTTTATACAAAATAAAAAAGATATAAACATACTGCAGTAATCATCTTGGCTAGATTCTTTGCTCCATGCCATATGTCCCATGAGTGCAGAACTCCAGTGTCCTTATATCGCCCAGTTATTGGATCTTGTAATGAAAAACAAAAAAACATTTTTATTACATCTTTTTTGAAAAACAATTATATAACTTCCTTTTATATAACATGGCAAGTACTCCCAACTTACTCATAATAGATGCGATTTGTGTGTGTGCATCTGTACATATTTCTGAGATCCGCACTTCACTAAGAAGCTTGTCCATTGTGGTTACAAAAGCCTCTTTCTCCATTATTACAGAATTACGATTGGTCTGCCTTTTATCGATAGTGACCACTGAGATGATTTCCTTAGAATCATTCTCCATTGCTGTGTACGAGCAATACTGGGCACAGTATCCGGGGCTGTCCATTCGTCCATCAGCTGTGTAGTGCAGAAAAAGTCAATACGATTTTTTTTTTATATTCCTTAAAAACACATTAAAATTGTAACGTAACTTGTGAAATACACAAGAGGTCAACAAATTATAGAAATTTAATAATATATAAAAAAAAATGTTATGCATAACACCTTTCAGCACTTAGATTGACATGTAAGTATTGCATAGTACTTACCTAATACAACTACACCATCCTTACTCTTCATACGTTGAATTGCAGCACATCTGTTGTCCTCCCACATGTCCTTTATTGCTCCTAAGCAGTAAGTATCCTGGATTTTTAAAAAAGTGTTCTTTCCTACAAAGCCCATGTTCATGTAATTAAACAGGTGTGCCACTTTGTAGTAGTTATTTCCCGACAGCAGAACGTTGGTGGCCATCATGAAGTCCCCTGCCTGCATTCCAAATTTGAATATGGGCTGTGAATTCCAAGTCCTTACGTTGTGGCCATTTGAACATATCTATAAGATAAAATACACAAGAGAGATTGCAATGCATATAAACAGCGACTTATCTTGTATTGAATAAAATGTATATGGATTACAATTAAAACATACTTTTAAAGTCTTCTTTGGAATTGGAAACTGTGTATTCAGTTATACATAATATAATATTACAACATTGAAAATATATCTTGAACACCTGCCAATTCAAAATATTACACTTGTGTGTGTAGGTTCACTAAGCTAAATAGAGATTTTGAGATTATGATATACATCTTATTTATAACGACAACAACATGTTTTGCGTGACATGCAACTATTAAATATACCGAAAAACTGTTAATTATGTTTTTATTACCCATTGGATGATACTTGCTGTTCCCCTTGAAGTCAGGTGGAGTTCAAAAGGTGGTGAAGCCTGGCAGGCTTTACAATTAACCTCTGGTAGCTGTAGAAGCTTGACCAACTCTTTCAACTGTGCTTCATACACAATAGATGCCCGTTTTCCAATTATGTCTTCCTCACACATGACTTTGTTGCTAGCATTAGATTTAAGGACATGATCTTCATGTAGGGTTATCCCTTCATCTTCTTGTGTAAGATGAACGGTCTCTTCGAGATCAATCACTTTAAGCTCCTTGATTTTTCTGAACTCATTAGTTCCTTCACCCGTTCTGTAAATATATATATAAATATTTACAACATTGTATTAATAACATGTGCAAAAAAAATATTATCTTTTCTATACTTTCTTTTTGTTAACAAAAAGAAAAACAACGTTTAATGTCCTTGAGGTGGCCTGGATGCCATAACCCTTGATAATTTAACAGTTTTAGTAGGTCCATCAACTGATATTATTTTGTTTTATATATTTTTACAGCAAAAAACATGCTTCTTGCAGACAAACCTAAGACAGATAGAGGGAACATAGTCCTCATCAGAATTGCTTTCCTCACTGTCTATTTCCCAGGATGTATCATCTTGGTGTTCAAATTCAATTCTGCAAAATACATAATATCAGTTTAGTACTGGTTGAAGTAATACTAAAAACAATAACTAAATACAATATACAGAGAATTACACAAACATGTGTAAAGAGCAAACTGCATTTTGTAACAATGCATGTCAACACTTACACTGTGTTATGAAGATCATTGGCATCTTCGCTCACAGTAATGGTGGACTCATCATGGAAGCTCATCTTTGAAAAACTGCACCACACCCAAAAAAAAAAAATATATATATATATATATATATATATATTGCTTTGAAATGGCGATATGCATAACACTTTATTGGTTGTGTCAAACTGCAATTTGTGGCTTGTGGAGCCCAACTATATGATAAAATAATTTTTTTCAAAATATCTTGGTATAGTAAGTTACTATTAGTAACACATGTAAAAGTCACCTTTCATGTAATAGCTGTTCATCGCTTCCTGCCAAAGAAAGGCGTTCAACTCCAGGCTCCAGAAAACCCTGGTCTCTGTAAAGCATATTTAATCAATTTATTCAATGTAATTCTATTAATAAACTATGATGAATTAGATAAAACAAATTTGCCAAAGCCTACCTATCTGATGGTGAGTCACTGGACGAAGCTATGGTGGAGAGGGTTTGAAGAGGCATTCCAGGTCTCTTGCAAGGAGTTGACGTGGCTGGTCCTCCTTTTTGGTAACTTTATAAAAATAAAAAAATAAATTTAATGTACATTTGACACATCTTTTCATGTCGTGAAAGTATTTAACCACAGCTACAGTTTGACAAAATTACAGCCAACAGTAGACAACAAGACATTCTAACAATAATACTAATTGTTTTGAATCCTTTACTGACATGAAAATTGAATACAGAACACGGTGTTACTCACCTGTCAATTAAAACACATGCAAGATCGGCGTCTCTTTCTAGTTCGAGTTTTTCACGAAGTTCTCTCCATTTAGGAAATGCCACACCGATGTTGATCCTGGTTTTATTCCTCTTCTTGTCCCAAATTCTTCTTGGGTCATTTGGTTGACCCGTTCGTTGACGTTTGCGTTTATGACACTTGTTGACAGAACCAGCTGCAATCGCTAAAGAATAATTGTGTTCCATTCTATAACAAATGCGCGAAACAAGCTGACGTTTGTTGCTTGATAGACGCTAACGCACAACTACAACTTCCGCATTTGTCCAGGACTCCACGCAGTACGATTGGAAACCGAGGGTAACGCGGATATGACGCGATTGACTGGCGACTCCCAGCTCACCCCTGCTCACACGCCCCGTTTCCTTGGTTAAAATCTCAATTTTCTCGCGATTTAGACATTGTTTAAAACATTTGGAATATTGTAAGTTATCACCTTAACTAAATATATAACACTGGCCTTGTGATTTTGGGATATTTTAATGCAAAAATCTTAGGTATTGCACCTTTAACAGGAGCAGTTGCCAAAAGGGCACACACAGCTTTCCAGCATCTGCGTCTCCACACTCGTAACACAGTTCAGTGGCTGTGGCTCTTTCCATAAGGACTCCATTTGTCAGTCTTCGACATAATGTCTCAGTTCCCTCCATTCAATTTAGCGGATGATTTTATCATTAGAAACGAATCGGTTACCTAACGTAACCTCGGTTCTCTCTAGAAGAGGGAACGAGTATTGCGTAAGCTAGCTTACGCTGCGGGAAAGATTCATCTTTGCTGAGATATTGAAGCCAAAAAATTATTTCATAATTTTGTATCCATACACAACGCAGTTCCTCTGCGGCAGACCTAGAGCGGGCTAGCTAGCAGCTCATTGGTTCGCTCAGAGAGAACTGCTTAAGCCTATGGGAGAGCGGGGCTGAACCCGCTTCCAATGAGAGGCGCCCGCGCGCTCATTGCGTCATGACCCGCCAGAATGGGCGTGGCCATGGTGTATATAAGGAGCTCTCCCAGGCTTATATGTTGATTTATTTCAGCGTGAAGCGAAACGCTAGTAGCGCAAGCACGGCCGGGAACGCAATACTCGTTCCCTCTTCTAGAGAGAACCGAGGTTACGTTAGGTAACCGATTCGTTCTCTTACGAGAGGTTCTCTCGTATTGCGTAAGCTAGCTTACGCTGCGGGAACACCTGGCCAACGCCGTGCGCGCTACGAATCCACTCATGAAAAAAACCCAGGGATATACCGGGGGAATTTTTTAACGTGGAGTGAATGTACAAAGAGGCCGCAGAGCGGGCTCATGAAGTGTACACATAAGCATGTATGGGGCCAGCAGAGCGGGCACATGAAGTGTATAAGCATTACAGGAGAGCACAAGGGGCGAACCGGTTGTGAGGGACCTCCAGAAATGCAGCTTCTTAGAGAGCTGTTCGTCAGACAGCTAGTAATTTTGCCTGCAAGGCGGGAACTTCCAAGTTATAAAACCTGACAAAAGTGGACGGGGAGGCCCATCCCGCGGCCACACAAATGTCATGAACGGAAATTCCCCAGGACCATGCCCACGATGAGGCCATGCCTCTAGTGGAGTGCGCCCTGATGCCCAGAGGGCAGGGCAGGCATTTAGATGCGTAAGCAGAGGCGATAGCGTCCACTATCCATCTAGACAGTGTCTGTTTTGAGGCGGCCAGACCCTTGGTGCGCCCCCCAAACGACACGAAAAGCTGCTCAGCGCGTCTGAACGCGGCAGCGCGCGTAGTGTACAATCTCAGAGCCCGCACCGGACAAAGGAGATTGGCATCGCGCTCACTATCGGATGAAGGCAGAGCCGATAGGGAGATAATCTGAGCCCTGAACGGGGTACCAATCGCCTTCGGGACATAGCCATGCCTAGGTTTGAGAATGACAATCGAATCATTCGGTCCAAACTCAAGACACGCGGCGCTGGATGAGAGCGCGTGAAGATCCCCAACGCGTTTAACTGAGGACAGAGCCGTCAGGAAAACGGTTTTGAGCGAGAGGTATTTCAGATCCACAGACTCGAGCGGTTCGAACGGGGGTGCTTTCATAGCTTCAAGGACTATAGAAAGATCCCAAACCGGAACCGACGGGGGCCGCGGAGGGTTCATCCTCTTAGCTCCCCTGAGGAAGCGGATGACTAACTCGTCTTTGCCCAATGACTGAGCGCGTCGGGGTTCCGCGAACGCCGCGACGGCTGCCACATAAACCTTGAGAGTGGAGGGGGACCTGCCCTTGTCCAGCATCTCTTGAAGGAAAACAAGCAAAGACGGCACCTCGCACGACCGTGGGTCCAGCTGTTTGTCGGTGCACCATTTTGAGAACACAGACCATTTAGACGCATAGAGCCTTCTCGTGGAAGGTGCTCTAGCCTGTATGATAGTGTTTCTTACTCCCTCTGGCAAATCAACGAATAGTCGTTGATCACCCATGCATGTAGCGCCCAGCGCTGTGGATGGGGGTGCCAGATCGTGCCGCGAGCTTGAGAGAGGAGATCTGCTCTGACTGGGATGGGCCACGGGGCTGTCTGTGACAGCTGCGTGAGCTCCGGAACCCAATTCTGACTCTCCCAACGCGGGGCTATGAGGAGCACCGAGTGGCGTGTGTCCCTGATCCTCTGAATTACCTGTGGTAACAGAGCGATCGGAGGGAATGCATAGAGCGGGCGGCGAGGCCATTCCTGGGCTAGCGCGTCCTCGCTCTTCGAGAAATATATTGGGCAGTGAGCGTTCTCTTCTGACGCGAAGAGGTCTACTTCTGCTCTGCCGAATAGTCGCCACAGTAACTGGACCGTCTGTGAGTTCAGGGACCATTCTCCTGTGGAGATGAGGTTCCTGGACAGTATGTCTGGACCGTCGTTCAGATGGCCCGGCACGTGCGTCGCTCTGAGCGAGAGCAGGCTGCTCTGAGACCAAACTAGAATGCGGTGCGTCAGTAGACAGAGATTTCTGGATCTGACACCGCCCTGACGGTTGAGATAGGAGACCACGGCCATATTGTCCGAACGGATCAGGACGTGGTGTCCCTGGAAGCGCGGGAGAAAGTGCGAGAGCGCGTTCTCGACCGCCAGCATTTCCAGACAGTTTATGTGTAATGGGCTTTCCTGAATCGACCAGTGGCCGAAGGCCGGTGAGCCCTCGCAGACTGCACCCCAACCCGTGTTGGATGCATCTGTCGAGATGACTTTTCGGCAGGAAAAGGTCCCCATCGTGACGCCTAGACGAAACCATTCTGCTACTGTCCATGGCTGCAGCGCCGTGAGACACGTTTGCGTAACCCTGATCAGCTGGCGGCCCGTGTTCCACGCGCGGTGGGGTACACGGCTGTTCAACCAGAACTGAAGCGGGCGCATGTGCAGAAGGCCCAACTGAAGTACAGCGGAGGCTGAGGCCATGTAACCCAGCATCCTCTGAAAAGTTTTCAGAGGCCTGCGGGTGCCCATCTGGAACGAGGCGGCTAGACGCTGAACACTGCGCGCGCGCTGTGTAGACAGGCGAGCCGTCATCGTGACCGAGTCCAAATCTATTCCTAGGAAGGAAATCGATTGACTGGGATGAAGGGAGCTCTTTGTCCAGTTGACAGAGAGGCCCAGCGTTTCCAAATGGTCGAGGAGAACTGCGCGGTGCGACAGAAGCTCCGTCTGTGATTGGGCCAAAATCAGCCAGTCGTCCAGATAATTCAGAATGCGCAGCCCCTGGCTTCGCAGGGGGGCGAGCGCCGTATCCATGCACTTCGTGAATGTACGGGGCGCCAGAGATAAGCCGAACGGGAGAACGGCGTATTGATAAACAAGACCCTCGAAGGCGAAACGTAAGAATGGCCTGTGACGGGGATTTATCTGGATCTGAAAATAGGCGTCTTTCAGGTCTAGAGATATGAACCAGTCCCCCTGGCGCACCTGCGCGAGGAGTTTCCTGGTAGTGAGCATCTTGAACGGTCTCTTCATGAGCGCTTTGTTCAAAGACCTGAGATCTAAGATCGGTCTGAGGCCGCCGTCTTTCTTGGGAACCAGAAAATAACGGCCGTAAAACCCCGACTCGGTCATAGATGGCGGGACTCTCTCTATCGCGCCCTTTTGCAACAGCGTCGCAATTTCTGAGCGGAGCGTGCCGGCGGCCAGCGGGCTGACAGAAGATTCGAGCTGCGCGCGCGCACGAGGCGGGCGGCGGCGAAACTGTAGCAGGTAGCCGTTCTTTATAATGCTTAACACCCACGGGGAAATGCCTGGAATGGCTTCCCACGCTTTGGAGCATGCGGCTAGTGGCCGAATGGCTGTATTGCCCTGATTGCTGCACATAGCGGGCTGGACACAGTGTGTGGGCGCGCTTTGAATGTGTGTGGCAACGGGATTTGCACTCAGAGAGGAGTCTATGGGCCGTGACACAGAGCGAGCAGAGAGGGGACACGTGCACGAGCTCGTGGGCGTGTTTATGTTCTCTGATATTAGAGCGGGCTGTGCCCGTTTCATGTGATGGGGCTCTGATAGAGACACGGGATATGTTATGCTTGTGTGTATGGGTGAACACATGATTGTGGGCACATTTTCTACACAACTGGCAAAATTT